CCTTGCCCTTGTTGAACCTCATCAGGTTCCTCTCTGCCCAACTCTCCAGCCTGTCCAGGTCTCACTGGATGGCAGCACAGCCTGCTGCTGTCTCCACCACTCCTCCCAGTTTGGTGTCATCAGCAAACTTTTCCCCCATCCCCTTGGCCTCCCTGTTCACATCAGACGGAGCCGCTGAATTAAACCATCCCTTTGCTGTCCTGCGTCTCTGCTGAGTCCGCACCCGCTCCTGGCACAGCACCGTGTCCGCCCCGGCCTCGCTGCCTCTCTCCTTCCAGCTGCGAAAATCAGCGTGTCTGTGTGGGTGACGGGCTGGGGAAAGCACCGAATTTCTCCCTTCTAACCCCGCATCTCCTATTTTTTTTTTCCTTGCAGACGACTCTTCTACAAAAGTGGACGTTAAGGAATCCTACGAAACGGAAGCAAGCACTTTGTGAGTTAAACGTGGGGCTTGGCCTCGCTGCCTCTCACCTTCCAGCTGCGAAAATCAGCGTGTCTGTGTGGGTGACGGGCTGGGGAAAGCACCGAATTTCTCCCTTCTAACCCCGCATCTCCTATTTTTTTTTTCCTTGCAGACGACTCTTCTACAAAAGTGGACGTTAAGGAATCCTACGAAACGGAAGCAAGCACTTTGTGAGTTAAACGTGGGGCTTGTTAGTGCAGCCTGGCCGCCCGGTTTAAAGCCCCCGGCGCAGAAACCGCTGCGCTCCGCACGTTGCCGAGCTGCTGCTCGGCCTGGCAGAATCGTTGGACGGTGTTGGCACTGCCCGCCCGCCTCCGGGGCCGGGTGGTTCTGCTGGGTTTCCAGCGACGGTCACGTACGCAACGTACGCGCTGTCCCCGGCGTCAGCAGAGCGGGGACGAGGTGCTCGCCCGGCGGCTTTGCCTTGGGGAAGGCCAGCTGGAGTTGGGAGAGATGTTTTCCCCCCCAAAAAATCTTTCTTTTGGAAAAGTTTTCCCTCCTGAGTCAGTGACCGCTGAAAATGTTGATAGGGTTTGTGGGCTGAAAACCTGACACACGAACCCGGTGTTTAAAATCGAGTGATGCTGTTTGAAAATTTCACGTTTAGCGCCAAAATAAGGTGTTTTGAGATTTTCCCCACGCTGTTCCAGAATGAGAAAGCAGTTCATAGAATCACTAAGGTTGGGAAAGACCCCTGAGGTCACCAAGTCCAACCGTCACCCCGACACCCCCATGCCTGCTAAACCACGTCCCCAAGGGCCACATCCAGACGGTGTTTGAACCCCTCCAGGGATGGGGACTCCCCCACTGCCCTGGGCAGCCTGGCCCAAGGCCTGACCACTCTCTCAGCACAGACATTTTGCCCAATCTCCAAGCTGAACCTCCCCTGACGCAGCTTGAGGCCATCACCTCTCGTCCTGTCGCTGGTTCCTGGGGAGCAGAGCCCAACCCCCCCTCACTGCACCCTCCTGGCAAGGAGCTGCAGAGAGCGAGAAGGTCTCCCCTCAGCCTCCTCTTCTCCAGCCTGAAGAGCCCCAGCTCCCTGGGAAGGGGTCGATGCCACTGCCAGCGAGGCAGAAGGTGCCCGAGGAGCTCTGGAGGCCTCACGCTCTCTTTGCATTTCAGTTCCTTTCCAGAAACCTTGGACGTGGGTGACAACTCCCCCTCTTCCTTCTGCACGCAACAGTCACCACACATCAAGACGGTCAGCGAGAGCGAGCTGAGCACCACGGCGACAGAGCTGCTCCAGGACTATATGATGACGGTAGGGTGCCCTTGGGCTGCCGGGCAGGGTGGAGGGCTTTTCTTCGAGGGGTTTGGGTTCGTTGCCTGGGTGTGTAGAACACGAGCCCGTGCTGGTGTAGGAACACCTCACCCTCCTCCTTTTCAGCCAAATAGTGCTTGGAGGCCTCACAGGACCTGAACGGGGCCTCGCATCCTTCTCCTGAGGAGCATCTCCATCCCCTTGTCCCCCTCTCAGGGTGTAAAGGTGTTGCTACGCCAGCCACGGCACTCCAGGTCCGTCGCTTCGTGAGTCACGGTCCCTGTGTACGCTCACAGCTTGTCCCCGTTTCAAAGCTGCCAGCTCATAGTGGGTCGTGCCAGCCCGTCCTGCTTTTCACAGAATCCCAGAATCCCAGCATGGCAGGGGTTGGAAGGGACCTCTGGGGGTCCCCCAGCCCAACCCCCTGCCCAAGCAGGGTCACCCACAGCAGGCTGCACAGCACCGCGGCCAGGCGGGGCTGGAATATCTCCAGAGAAGGAGACTCCCCAGCCCCTCTGGGC